CAGGGCAAATAACAAAGAAAATCTCTGTGACTTTTTACACTACTTGGAGTGTGTTTTGGGGAAGCAACCCCTGGGTTTAGGCATTTACCAACACATAAAGCAAAACGGCAGGTGAAATGTGCCATGGAAAGTGTGTGTGCTTGAGCGAGGTGGAAGAACGGGGAATCACATCAAGTATTATCTCTGGACTGCAGTGAACAGTAGATTTGGTTTTATAGCCAATGCTGCCTTTTAAAATTTATATTTAAATTCAATCAGTGTACTAGTTATGTCAAGCAGGATTCTAAATCTCAGGAAGCTAATTGCAAAGGTAATGCAAATGATTAATCTTTGACTTCAATTTGTACAAACTTAGACAGTTTCCTTTAGGTTCACCTTTGTATACTGTCCTGATTTGTATTCCCACTAATTATTATCTGATTATTACTGTGTCTGTAGAGGGGAGATGTAGCATCCAGAGGCTCTGAGAACGAGACTGGATCTTCTCTCTCGGAGATGTTGCAGCCCCAGGAGCTCAACCTCCACCCGTGACGGAGGAGCCAGCAGAGTCGGTGCTATCAGCTCCGGCTATAGTCATGGCAGATAGCAGTTGGTGCTATCCGCCCACCAAATAGCAGCTCCCGAGATGAGGGAGGCTGGAGCTGGTGGCTTCTGGCAGCGAGAGGGGGCTCCTGCTCCGATGGAATACTTGGAGCTTTGGGTAAGGCTCCCTGCCCTTGGAGCTGTGGAGCAGCCAGGATCACCCAGAGCTTTGAAGGGGCAAGTGTCAGTGGGAAGCTGCTGCTGGGGCCCCGTCTGCTCATGTGAGTGCCTTTAGGAAGCTCTGCAGCTTGCTGGCGCTCCCGTGCAGGGTCTTGCGGAGAGGCTGCGGAGGCAGGTCTGGCCCAAGGGCTGTTACACCCTGTTCCTCTTCCATGTGGACTCGTGGACACCAGTGATACTGCCAGGAGGGAATGGGAAGGTATCGAGCCTGGCCATGTGGCTCTGGGTATATGGGAGCATGGGGGCCCAGGGAAGTTCTCCTGGATCCTGCAGGTGAGCAAGAAGGATCCGAGGAAGCCTGAACAATCTTGGGTCAAAAACTGGTTGGGTAGCTGGTCTTGACAGCAGCGTTTTAGGTTTCTGTGACCACAGGGCCCTCAGCAAGGACTGCCAGCTTCTTGCTAGGGATAGGATCCATCTTTCCAAGCAGAGCAAGAGGATCTTTACCAACAGACAGGCCAGCCTGGCAATGAGCTCCTCAAACCAGGAATGACGAGGGAGGGGGAGAAGGACCAGTGATCAAATAAGGTAGTGGGCAGGTTCAACAAAGGGTTGCGGGGAGGGTAACGCAAACAGAGGGACCTCTTGATGAACAAAACAGTAATTGCGATTGTGCCCGAGCGCGTGCATGTTAGCAAGGAAGCACCTGTGGGACCACGTGAGGGTAGAGCTCTTGTGTCCCGCGACAGGGAGCAGCCTGAGTGCCCTCGGAGGCACCGGGACACGGAGGGGTCACCTGGTGCCTTTGGGTCAGGCCGAGCAGGGGATGCTGCAGAGGTGTCTGCTGGAGGCTGGTCGGGAGGAAGGAGTGGATGAAGCCGCCTTCGGATACCTGGGTAACGTTCCTGGTTTGCAGTCCCTCATCCTCCTGGGGGACGTGAAGCACCTGTGAGGGAAGCAGCAAACCCTGGGAGGTAAATGGAAGGAGTTGTGGGAGATGGGAGAGATTTATAAAATACGGGAAAGAAAAAATGAGGCAAGAAGGGAAGTTAGTGGGAGAACCGAGAGGTTTAGGATACTCCTACTAGGAAATGAATACTAGGAAAAATTTGAGGGCCAGCTGCTGGTTTTGACTGATAACAAGAAGCAGAGATCGTCTGTTCTGTACTGATCTGTATTAAGGTTTTCTTAAAAAAGATGCCTGTTACAAGTGATGATTGGTGTTAATCTGCATGTCACGGGGTAATCCCCGGAGCTATTTCTAGGTGTTCAAAGGTGGGAAGAATGCTCTTAATGCAGTTCTCATCATGTTTGAATTTATTATGTAATTCTCACTTCTGGTTGTATTGATGTAGTCCAAATTCTGTTGATACCAAAGCCTATTGACAACAAATCAAATATTTAAAATGTTACTTTCAAAAATAGGACTTACGCAATATGATAATCAAATGTCATCTAATTTGCTGCATTATTTTGCATGCTGGGTGAATCAGCTTCTCTTAAATGTACAAAACAATCTTAAATACAGATTCAACCCCCTCTCTATCACCTCCTCTTTTTTCCCTTAAAAGAAAGGGGCAGATGAGGTGGGAGAGAAGACAGGGCGGCCTCTAGACAGTCTCTAGACTAGACAGTCTCTAGACTAGACAGTCTCTAGACTAGACAGTCTCTAGCTGGTTTGGGCTTGCAGGCACGAAGGCTTGAGCATCCCAAGGGAGGAGGGTTTCCTCTTGCGCCCTCTCCTCCAGGTTAGGCACCCTCCTCCTCGCGAACCAGAGCGGGGAAAATGCCCCTCACTTTAAAACTGATGAAACCTCTCCCCACGCCGCGTGTTTATTGTGCATGGCTGCAGCAAGGGCTGCTTTGCCCTCAGAAAGCAGGGCTCAAAACACTGGCATTCACTGAGCGAGGTTTTTATTGACGGTTTAGGCGGCCCCCCCTGGCTTTCCGCGGGAAGGGGTCTGGCGTATGGAGTGTGCAGCTGAGCCTGACAGCACGCGCTGCTGGCCGGTGCGAAATTATCTTCTTGTGCTTTAACTGGAAGCGGTAGTTGGCGTTAATGTCAAGTGGGTTGTGGGTGCTTCGCTCCTGGCCAAACCTTCCTGTAGCCGCCTTGACGTGGGCATGGGAAGTAGGAGAAGATGCAGCTTGGTGGCAGGGAGGCGGGATGGGGCGGTGGAGCCCTGGCACTGGTACCGGTTGGAGGAGAACAGTGGGTCAGGTGTGGGGGCAGAGCCTGCGAGTCTGGGGGCAGTGGGGCGAGATGCCTGTCCGGTTACTTGCTTTAGAGGAGATGGCGGGAAAAACGAGCTCTAAAGCTGCCTTGAAGAGGGTTGTTGCCTTTCCAAAGGCAGGCACGGCAAACTAGGGATGTGAGGAAGTAAGGCTTGCCCAGAATATTTTAACGGAGCTCCCTTGCACATGTGCGTTATGATACAGCTTTAAATTATATGATCTCAGAGCTATATAGTCCCTGAGGACCGTGTAGAAAGGAGACAGGGCTTTGAAAGGCCGCTTTGATTTGTTGTAGAAACTGTTGGTTAGGTGGTGAATGGAGCAAAGTGCTGCAAAAAAAATCAAAAAATGTGAGTTTTGGTTAGGAAGGTGAGTGGTCAGGTTGGTGAATGCAGCTTTGCTAGAGATTTGAAGTGTGATAGAATGGTAGGGAATGTAGAAAAATGAGGTGTAGGGCACTCGGGCACTTACACTGGCCATGGTTTTAATTCAGAAGTCTTCCTTTTCTCCTTCCCTCCTTCCCTTCTTCCCTCCTTCTCTTCCTCCCTTCCTTCCTCGCTTCCCTCCCTCTGTCCCTTTCTCCCTCCTTTCCTCCTTGCCTCCCTCCGTCCCTGGGGCCCGCAGGGCAGCACAGTGGGGTGCCCCATGCCCCGGCAGGGAGCAGCCCCCTGACACCCCCCGGAGTAAGAGGGAAGTGGTGCAGCTGGGCCGGGACTTGGTGCCGCAGCTCGCCCCACGCGCAGCTTTCCGGCGTTGGGCTGGCTCCTGTCTTCTCTGCTCGCTGCAGCAAGGAAGGGCTTTGTGGGACACCGGGCACCTCAGCACCCAGTTAAGCAATGTCAGGCTGGCCGTGGGCAAGGGAGCCCAATTAACGTTGAATGTTTAGGAAAAGTATATAAGGATGCGACTTCTCAAGTGCTTATTTTAAATGTTACGAGTTTCCACTCATCAGCCTGGCACCTGTCTTATTTTAACATTTTATGGGGGGAAGGACGTTAGTGTTTATATATAGCTTGTTGGCTTTTTTTTTCGTTCTTTTTAATGCGTGCTTTCCATAAATTTATCCTGGGAAAATCTGATGCCCCATGTGCAATGAAAACTTTAAACTAGGAAGCGTATTTGCAGTCAGTTTTTCAGTTCCCACTAACTCTTGGTCAATTCTGTTCTGAAAAACTAACCGCCCTGCCAGTTATGTATCTGCCTGCTTCAGGGAGAATACTAAGGATAACTTTCTGCTGACCTGATTCATTTTAAATTATTTTTTGAGAAAGCAATCCCATCTTTGCTCTTTTTAATATGGCTCTGTTCTGACCATGATCCAAAGTAAAATAATTATTGTTTGAGGAGAATAGCTGTGGCTTACCAAGCACCTGGTTTTTCTAGTCTTTTATTTTGAGGTGGGCTAGTGTGAATTAGGATGGCTCGTTCAAATTGGGAAGTTTGGCTGTGTGCAGGTGACTCTTGTGACAGCCAAGCCACGCTTATTTAATTGGACTCATTGCACACGGTGGCATAGCGTGTCCCTGCTGGAGCAGGGGGGTTGGACTGGATGATCTACAGAGATCCCTTCCAACCTCAACCATCCTGTGATTGTGTGATAGCAGGTTGTGGAAACGTTTCTTTACTTCATCCTCGTGCCAGGAGAGAGCAGCCCGACTTTCAGCACTGTTCCTCAGCGCCTGCAGGCTCTGTCAGTGCACGTGGTCCTTGCCGGCTGCCCACGGGGCTTGCCTTCCACCCTGGGCTCAGCCGCCCTGGGGTTGCTCAGATGGTGCTGAGGCTGGAAAGAAACGGAGCTGCAGGAAAGAAAAGATGTGCAGCTGGTCAAAGAAAGAACAGCCTTGTTGCAGAGAAAGAAAAGGGAAAGAAAACTCTTAACTTATTCCCAGTTAGGTCAATTGGTGGGAAATAACCCTTTTAGAAAAGCTAGAGATCTGAAATTTAAATAGCTGACAATTTTGGGCTGGCCGTTTAAAAGAGATAAATCAAAAGATGAGTATAATAAGAGTTCTGTAAATTATCTTCTTTCTTTCTTTCTTTCTTTATTTTTTATGCAGATACCTACGGATAAAACTGGCCTGAAAGGAGCATCTGGGGGAAGCTGGGAAGCTTGGCAGTAGTTGCACCTGAGTAAGTAAGTGATTAGCTGGAAATCATCTTTCTGAATGCTAAAATGGTTGAATGTTTTTTGGCTCCTCCTTGCCTAATTGTAGACTGGAAATTGAGACAAGACGTCGGGTTTTAGCTTAAAAAGACTAGAAATATCAGGGTTAGCTAAGTGAAGTTTTGCCTATAACTTTCACTGCCTTATAGTAGGCTTGCTTTTTACTGCTACCCTCAATATATGCTTAAAGTTACATGTTCATTATGTGCAAGCTTTCTTGCTGTTACAGTGTTTTGCCTTTTTAATTATTTGAGCCTAAACGATGAATTTGAGGGACATCTCTGTCTCTTTATATCACACGGAGACTTGCCAGTTTGCGGTTGTAAGGAGGGACTGAGATTTAGAAGGACCGAAGTCAAGAAGAAGAGGCCAAGTTAAGCCTGAGATCGTGAGAGGATGGGGGCCAGGAAGGGGACCTCGCGGTGGCCTCTTGCAGGTGGTGAATGACGACCTGTTCAGGTGGTTCCCTGTAGAACAGGACCAGGACAGTCTCCTCTTGCCAGCTGGGTCCGGCCATATAGAAGCGCTTCCTGCACTTCGGAAGGACTCGGTGATCTCCAAGCCCACCTTACAAAGATTGCTTAAAAGGCAGGAAAAAAGGGATTCTTTTTTCCAGCAGTTCTGGCAGTCCACCCAAATTGGCCTTTTCTGGCAATCCAAGTACTGTTCTGGTTGCAATAAATTATTTTAGATGTGAGAAAGGTAACTTATTGTATAATTATTTATCATATATATTTGCATACGAAATACATGTAGTTTCAATGAATAGATAAGAACACTGTAGCACTAAACTTATTTCCATTTGTACTGTGTTTTTAATGACCTGCAAAGTTAATTGAGTTTTCTGAAGCAGCTGGCGGGGCTGGGTCTTTCTTCCTGCTGGTGTTTGTGCCATTAAAAGATTTTGTTCTGGAAGGCGTCAGAGGAAAGTGAATATCCTTCCTTGCATTTACAATGAATTCTACAAGCTCTGCATTTCAGCTGAGAATCACTCTCATCTGATCTGAACTTACCAGTGCATTTTATTCCAAGTCTTTGTCATGGTATAATCGTATTCTTGTAGTGAATGAATGAACTTATAAATTGCAGTCTGTCAAACCACGGTGTGGGAAAGTGTGTTTCATTCTGCCACACTGTTTGCCTTGTCTCTCTTTGCAGTGCAACGAGAGGCAGAAAAGTGGTGTCTTTACTTGCTTGTGATACCAGGAGAGTTAAGTGTGTAACCTAAAGATACATGAGGCCATGAATGAAGGCTGTGCACACGTAAGCTTTTAAAAACACTCTACAGGTGAATGGCAGCAGCATTTATAATTACCGTTCCCAAGAAGTGTTGTAGGAGCCTGGGGTGTGCAGGTGGGATGAGTGCCTGTGGAAAGGCCTGAGCCTGAGCCTGAGCCTGAGCCTGAGCCTGAGCTGCTTCCTTGGGCTCGGCGGCTGCCGAGTCCCGCCGTGCGGCAGTGAGCGGGTGGAAGGCCTGCCAGAGCACGGGCCTGGGCTGTGCCTTGAAACCCAGCCTGGCTCAGCAGCCCCTTGTAAATCCAGCAGGGACCTCGGAGAGAAGTTTCTCCCGTGGTTCTTTCAACTTCTGCACTAACACACAGCAAATGTTTTCATTTATTTCCTGTGTTATCAGTCCTGCTCTGCGTATTTGAGTCTATTGCTTTTGACGGTGATGAAAGACAGGTATTTCCTGACCTTTTGTGTTTTAGACCCTACATAAGTTCAGCTGTTCATTTCAAGAATATTTTGCTCTGCTTTGTTCTGGTTTTTCAGTCTGAATGTAGCCCTAGAAATTCCAGGTGCAATTGAAGTCTCTCTGGAGTTGCAGTTTCAATTCTGGGCTTGTTTACATGAGCAAAGACGCTTGCCTGTGCTTAGGAGGGACCTGCATTCAGCTGGGCTGGAGTATACGTGAGCATAGTGGGTCCTGCCTTGAAGCAGGGATCACATCTGTGTTAGGTCTCCTTTTCCTGGAACATTGTCCTTAGTTGTTGTTGTTGGAGGGGGCCAGAAGTTAACAACTACTGAACTAAGAGGTAGAGATAATCCAGTCAAATTGTGTGGTCTCTTTGTTTATGAACACAGGTTTGATCTTTACTATAATTTGGGTGTTTCATCCAATTTATTATTTGTAGTTACTGTATCTTCCACTTTTTTCCCCATTGAGAACTGAATGCAGAACTGAACAGAACTGGAATCAAGTGCCCTGGGCCAAGATTTTCTCGGTGGAGACGGAGCAGAAAAGCGGACGGGTTTTTGCCGGCATCCTGGGGGCTGTTCGGGTGAGGTGTGAGCTCTGAGGAGGTCTCTGTCACAGTGCCGAGCCCCAGAGAGCGCGCTGGCCATGGGGCGCTGTGGGTCGCGCGGCGGCTGTTGGGCCGAGCCCGCCTCCCTAGCGCACAGGCTGAAGTGAAGGCAGCTCCCACCGCCCACACAGCCTGTTCACACTCTCGGAAGGTGCTCTGTAGTTCCCCTTAGCAGTTAATTTCAGGGCAATTGTTGTTATTTTTGTAAATTATATTCTGGGATTATGATAAGTATCACACTATCTGCTGTTCATTAATATAAAAAATTAGTCTGGTATTCCCTAGGGATTTAAAACTTGTTTCTCTACAGTGTTTCTGCCGTGGAAGTGAATTAATGTTGAACTAGACCTCTAGCAACTGAGAATCTACTGAAAACCTAAAAACATTGATGGATGATGTGGCAATTCTAGAAGGTCTTCTAATCTTAACAGAAGTGTTATTTTAGTTGAGAGATTTTATTTTTTTTTTATTTCATGCTTATATAAAATATAATACTGGGGACTATTTGTGGTTGGGAATGTGGCATTTGAGTTATGCAAGGTTTAAATAGGTGAAATTTTAATAGAAAGGAACCAAATGCATTTCTTCAAAGATTTTTTATCTACTAAAATACTTTTTTTTTTCTGAGACAACTAGTAGAGGTTGTCTACTAGTATTCACCCTTTGCTTTCTGTTTCTAGAAGACAACTTACTTTGAGCTGACCTAAAATGTTAATGAAATTATATGTCCTTCTTTCTGTTGCCGGGAGCAATGTGGCACCGCTTTCCAGTGGCGCTTGGCGAGCTGTGTTATCACCTCATCTGAAAGGTACCAAAGTGCCGGGGTTCGCCCCAGCATTCAAATATAGGCACACTGCTGCTTTCCGGGGCTGTAAACCAGGTAATTCATCACTAGTAATTCATCTGGAGATAGATGTTGGCTTTCAAAGAAAAATACGTTATATTGCAAATTCCTTTCGAGGGGGGGTGCTTGTTTTTAGGGATTCCCGGGGAGTGGAGTGATCCTGGGAATGTAATAAATCATATATGTTGCCTCACTGTTTATTTATTTAGTTTTCATTCCCTAGATCTAGCAGCATTGAAACATTCTGTCATAATAAATATAATAAGTGTTATCCCACTTGGAACCGGGCAGAGGGATGGGGACAGACTCTCTCTCTTAGCGGGTGCAGTATTGTGGCTCTGCGTGTGTTCAGAGGGCAGCACGGCCGCAGGAGCCGGCACGCAGCACCAACGGGCTGAGGTTGGGGGCCGCCGTCTGCCCAAGCAGCGAGGCGGGAGAGGCAGGAGGGCCGCAGGGTCCGTGTGCAGCAGCCCTTGTGCCGACAGTGAATTCATACTGGTTTGGGGAGTGAGGAGATGGCCCGTTCCGGGGTGCTTGTTCCGTTTGTTTATGGCTTTTTCATATTTAGGAAGCATCTGTAGTGATCCTTCTTGCAAAACAGCTCATGCAGCAACTGGCAGAACAGAAGCAATTAGTGGCGCAGTCTCGAAGGGAATCTCAAGCTTCCCTTGAAGTGCCGTGGTGATTAAATCCACTACCATGATAACGGTGGCCGCCAAGAACCCCAGTAATCAGTGGGTCACTAATGGGCTTGGTTGCAGCCGTCGATACCCGCGGGTGCCCGTGGTCAGCAACGCGCCCGCGTTTGGTCAGCAGCACGGGAAGCCGGAGCCGCGGAACTGGAGCGGCTCCGTGGAGAGCACCTAAACCCTAAAACAAGTGTCCCACTGTGCCGGAATACAAATGGGCTCTCTGTGGCAGGGGACAGCAAAGGCATTTGGCAGGGAGGGATTGGAGAGCTTCTGGCGTAATGTAATTGAATTGGCCATTTCTTTAAAGATACAGCAAATGGTTTGTTGCAGCATTCGTCATCATAAGGGGGGCCGGACAGCTTGCCAAGCATATGATATTCATAATAAAAAAATCAAATGCTGCCGCTTGCACTTAAACAGGAATCATGTTATCATGTTTGTAAAAGCTCTGGAAATGAATAGGAATGTTCCTGGTGGCGCTGGTGCGTTAGCAATCCAAGTAAGTTTGTAATTAAAGGGGGGAAAGCAGAGTGCCGGGGGTGGAAACTCCCCCAGGGATTCGGCTGGTGAGCGACACGGGGGCCCTCGGCCTTGAGAGGGCTGTGGGTGTCTGGCAGGAGCGGGGCCCACTCTCCTCTGACCTCTCTTGCTCCCCAAGGGGCAGATAGACTTGCGAGATGCTGGTCTTTCCCTTTTAAGAAAACAAAGAAGGAGTAACAGAGAGGAAGGACGTAAGAAGTGCTTAAAAAGAGACAAAACCTAAACCCAAGTCTGGCTGGTTTTTGCTAGAATCAGTCACATTGTGGCAGAACAAGAAGATGCAACAGGCTGCTGTGCATCCGAACGCCACACGAAGTGCTCGGTGCTGGGATCCTGGCAAAGCCCTCGCAGTGACATGCAGGGCACAGACTGTGCGGCGGCGGCGGCGGCGGGGCCCTGGGCTCCCCGCGAGTAGCTGCTGGCTCGTCGCTTCGGGCCCTTCGGGAGACCGGCGTTTGATTTCCTGCACCGCTGCACCCCTGATAGGCTTGGAAATGGGAATCCGAGTAATTAGGCTGGCTGTGCAGATCCCAGCAAGCCAGCCAAGGAAGCGGGGAGGGCTCAGGGAGCCGCTTGGAATCCTGAAAC